GAATCTTTGTGAGTTTATTTGAGCCAAACCGTCGGCACATGCCGGGAAGCACAACGTCAACGAATTGAGATAGTGCTCCGGAGAATGGCGGGTTACACCTGTATTTATCCATTGCCATCAGAGGAGGGACACAGGTGAATTACCTGAAATCCATTGATGACAGATTAGGGGGTGGGAGAAAGCAAAGCAGGGAAACTCCTGGGATTGGATAAAAAGTAAAATGATGGACACATAGGTGGGTGCAGGAACAATGAACATGATAATGAAGGAATCTGTGGCCTCGGTCCTGGCGCCCAGCACATTAGGTTGTGCCCCAGGGGCTCCAGAAAAAGGGAAGTTACCAGTTACCCTGACATTTCAAAAGTATGTTATCATAGATACAAAAAGACAGTTAGGACGTAACTACCCACCATCACTGTGTTTAGTTAAAGTTTCATTTCAGACCATCCTTTGTGGTGACTTTAGGTCTGAGTTTGCAAGACCGCCATGCAGGCCTCCCCTGAGCTGTCAGGTCAACTTATGGCCCCTTTCGTCCAGTCTTTTGTAAAAATACTAATAAGTCTTGATTTTCAGCCAATAGAAATTAGGTTTTTACCTCTAGAGGACACTCTCAAAGACTCCACAGTACACACTCCACGCTCCCATCTCTCGGGCCACGGCTGGCAACATCCCTTGATCCCCAGTAGGGGGCGTGCAGGAGGCAGCAGATCCATAATTCTCTTTCATCATTGATATCTCTCTCTCTCTCCATTCCTCTCTGAAATCAGTACAAATATATTTTAAAAAAATAAAGTAAAACCTAAATGGTGTTTCCAGCAGTTGAAACATTTATACACGTTCTGAGTGCATGCTGCTGGCCTAACATGCTTTTCATGAACGTGGGCTTCCTTCACCGGCCACGAGTTGCCGGCCCGGCTGTTCTCCGATGCGTCGGTTGCTAGTGTCCGGTGTCTCCCTGGCCTTCCTCGTGTGCCGCTTTCCTCTGGTCTCGCCCCGTCACCGCACGAGCCCCGTCAGCCGCCCCCAGTGCCGCCGCCGCCGCCGGAGCCGCGGGCTGGGGGGGATGCTGCTGCCGGGGCCGGGGCCGCCGCTGGCACATTCCTAACCGGGACTGCGCCCCGAGGTCCCGATGGCCGCTGCGCTGTGCGTATGCGCCGTACACACACTGAGTGTGAGGCTGTTCACAGGAGAGCCACACACTGCCCCGCAGAGCCAGGCCAGCGGCTTCTCGCACCCGGCACCCCGGGCGGGCCTGTCACCCCCCCCCCCCCGAGTGGGACTGTCACCCCCAGGCGGGCCTGTCACCCCGGGCGGGCCTGTCACCCTCGGGCGGGCCTGTCACCCCCCCTCCCCCCAGTGGGCCTGTCACCCCCGGGCGGGCCTGTCACCCCCGGGCGGGCCTGTCACCCCCAGGCGGGCCTGTCACCCCCGGGCGGGCCTGTCACCCCCGGGCGGGCCTGTCACCCCCGAGCGGGCCTGTCACCCCTGGGCGGGCCTGTCATCCCCCCCCCCCAGTGGGCCTGTCACCCCTGGGTGGGCCTGTCACCCCCGAGCGGCCGGCCTGTGCCGGCTCAGGTCCGCATGCTCGACCTCAGAGCAGCGTCGGTCGCCGGCGCTGGGACCTGCAGGCAGTGCCAAGCAGCGTACCTGAAAGCTAATATTTGGTTGTCCTGACCCCGTCCCCTGTGGCGGCTCCCGCTCCTGAAGGTGGGGCACTGGCTGGGCAGGCCCTGTCCTCGGCCTTTGGCTGAGGGGACGCTGCTCCAATGGCAATGAGGTGACTGGACTTTCCCCGTGAGCGGGGGAAGCTGCCAGCCCCCCCCCACCCGTGTTCCGTGCACTCTCATACGTGTCCCCACAGGAGGAGGGAGTGACAGCCACACTTCCTCCCACAGTCACGTCACAGACACCCCAAGACCACGGCCCCCTCACTGCTTACAGGAGCTGGAGCCGGGATGGGAGCCGTGGACGTGACCTTCAGCCAGGAACATGACCTTCAGCGCCGAGCCAAGGCCCTTCTCCCTTCAGGCACGTTTACGACCTCCCACCGTGGTCCTCACGTGGACACGGATCGCAGACTCCCCGCGCTGAGAGCCCCGCTGGCCGTGCAGGCCCTGCCGGACCCCAGGGAGGGAGGGGGCGGAGTGGGGCCCCTCCAGCCCCGCAGGCCCCGGTGCTCCTTGGGAGGCGGCTGGGCTCGCCCGGTGGCGGCTGTGGACGCTCAAGCACATCCCGCAGCTTCCCGCAGGAGGCTGCGAGGTCCGGGAGGAAGGAAGAATGAGGTGACCCACCTCACGGCCACGGCCTCCTCGCCGGCCCAGCAGAGCCGGGCAGAGCCGCGCAGGCCGCGGGGCGCCAGGTGGCGGCCGAAGGTCCCGCTCAGAACCTCCGGCGCCCACTCGGCCGGTGCGGCACGGCCTGTGCTGGGCGGGGACAGGCGGCCGCGGTGCTGGCTGCTCCGGGCGGCGGGGAGGCTCCTGCACCAGACCTGCTGCGGAGCCCGGGGCCCGCCTCGCTGGACAAGGCCAGCGGGCCCACGCCGGAGCTGCAGGCGGAGTATCGAGGCTTTGTCTGCGGGTGGAGCTGACGGTTTTAAGGAACATTATGACCAGAGTGTCCGCCACCTGCCCAGCCTCTCGCCGCCCACGGGCGCCTTCGCCGACCCACCGCACCCCCTCCCACGGCCCACGGCTCTGCCCTCGGCCCCGCACATCGCCGATGCCTTCCATTCCGGGAAGACCCTCAGCGGACGTGCCGGTGTATTTCTGTATGAAGAAAGGAGGGGCGGTGTGGGGCGGGTGGTGGGGGGGCGGGGGGCGGGGGCGCTGGGATGTGGGGGCACCTGCCTCACCAACACGACCTCCGCTGGCTCCTGCTGCCCCGCCCCGTCACACACCGGGCTCTGCGTGGAGTGCACACGCACACACATGTACACACACAGAGTGCGCACACACGTGCATGCAGTGCACACACGTGCACATATGGTGTGCACAGAGTCCACACACACATGCACACACGTGTGCGAACACACACAGGGCTGGGGGTACGGAGCATGCCCATCGGCTGCCCCCGTGGAGTGCTGCTGTGCAGCGCGTGGCAGCGCCCCGTGGGTCGGGAGGAAGAGGAGGTGCAGACGGCTTGGGTGACAACACAGACAGTCCGAGAGGCCACGCCAGGGACACGTCACACTTCATAAAACCCGTGTTTATTAAAAAACCTGTTCAGAAAGTCTGGAAAGCGTAATAAATACCGTGCGGGCCGCCCGCACACAGCCCAAGCGAACGGAGCTGTAAACAAGGCGGAGGCGAGCAAAGTGCGGGCGTGGAGAGCGGGCGGGCAGCGCTCCGGGGCACAGCCTTGGAGCCCCCCACCCCTCGGCTGGCGAGGCCACACGGAGTCACTGGCTCCTCGCCGCTCGGGGTCCCAGTCCGCTCTCAGCGCCTGGAGGGTGAAGGGCCTGCGTGGGGGTGGGCTGGAGGCCGAGGTCAGAGCCCGGGGTCTGAGCCAGGGGGTACAGTCCGAGGTGTGAGCAGGGCTGTGTGGATCCTGGGGAGCCTTCCCCGGCGCTGGGTTCGGGGAGCCCCGAGCAAGCGCGTGGGCCCTCAGACCCATCATTCCCACCGACGGTGCGGCTGCTACGTCCCTAAGACTTCCCCGGCTCGGTTTCCACGCAGCAGGCCAGGGACACCCGCCCCCTCGGCAGACACCCAGCCCCGGCGCGCGAGCAGCCGGGCCCAGCACACAGGACGCGTGCCTTGTGCCAGGTCTAGGAGGGTGACCCGCAGCCGCTGTTCCCGTTTCCGATGGCAGCGAGGACGAGGCAGACGACGGGGGTGGGGGAGGTGGAGGAGGGAGGAGGGGAGTCACACATGGAGCCTCGGGGGGCTCCGTCCACGGGGGAAGGAGGACGGCCCGGGCTCTGCAGGAACCGGGCACGGACGTCCCGCCTGGGTCTGGTGCTGGGAGAGAGGCCCGTGGCCCCACCCTCATCTTCTGGGGCCTGAAGACCACAGCCCAGCGAGGGAGAACTTTCCGGCAGGCAGCCCTGTGTGTGCCTGAGTGTGTGCGTGTGTGTGCGCCTGAGTGTGTGCGCGTGTGTGTGTGTGTCACTGGAGTTGAGACTGAAGGACAAAAGAAACAATAAATATCGTCTTTTTAGGAAAAACCTGGCTGTGACCAACAGTCGCTCCCATAGCCTGGCCAGAGCTCAGAGGGATGGACAGACGGAGGGACGGACGGACAGACAGACAAGTGGCAGTCCTCCCCGCCGGTGGGGTGCTCCCTGGGTGGGCCGAGCCGGAGGAGAGGAGGACACAGGCGCTGCCTCGGGCAGCCCCGGGCGGGCGGGCGGGCGGGATTTTATTAACGAAGGGCACGCGGCCCGGGACAACAGACACGCTGACTGACCGCCAGGACAGACCCTGGGCAGCGCAGACACAGCTCGGCTTCCGCCACGGCACCTGCCGAGCCCCCGGCCCCGTGGGCGCCAGAGGCCGAGCTCAGGGTCCGAGGTCACAGTTTCTCCAGCGCAGGGGAGGGAGCAAGCCAGGCCCTCAGCCCGGGGGCCCCAGCCCGGGCCACTGCCACCCAGAGCCGGGGGGGGGGGGGGGGGCACAGGCGCCTGCTGGCTCCTTCCCGGCACCAAGGGCACCAAGGCCGAGCCAGGCGGCTCAGGGTGCCTCCCGCTCGGCTCTCGGCGAGGACACACGGGCCCCGGTCACACGCGTGGGGCGGCCCTCCGTCACCGTCAGCCGCCTGCCCTTGACACCGGCCCCTCTGGGAGGCGCTACCGAGGCCGCCTCCTCCCGTGAACACGGTGCTTCCCGGGCTGAGCAGGTGCGCGGGGGAAGGCCTTCGCCTGCAGCTGCCGGGGAGGGAGCGCAGGCGGCAGAGCGACGGGCAGGGCGCCGGACCCCCTGGGGCGGAGGGGACGCGCGGGCCGCGACGGCGCCCGCGGTCACCGGAGCAGCGCCCGGCCCGGTGCGGGTCGGCCCTGCCGGCTACAGCCGCGTGGACGTGAGCCTCTTCATGCCGCGGCGCTGGGCCAGGCTGGACGCCAGCACGGGCTCCAGCCGCGGCGCCTGCGGCGTCCGGTGCAGGGCCAGGTAGGTGGCGGCCATGGCGCCCTGCAAGGCAAGGGAGGCGGTGAGCGCGGCGCTCCTGCCCGAGCCGGCGCACGGCCTCCGGCCGCGGTCTCCCGCGTGTGCGGTGCCCGCGGGTGCGGTGCCCGCGTGTGCGGTGCCCGCGGGTGCGGTGCCCGCGTGTGCGCTGCCCGCGGGTGCGGTGCCCGCGGGTGCGGTGCCCGCGGGTACGGTGCCCGCGTGTGCGGTGCCCGCGTGTGCGGTGCCCGCGTGTGCGGTGCCCGCGGGTGCGGTGCCCGCGGGTGCGGTGCGGGCCGCCGGGATCTCCTCCGCGTCACCCACGGCCGCGGTGGCGGCGCCGTCACGGGGGCGAATATCCGGACTCCCAGGCTGCCCCCCCCCCCCCCGCCTTGGCAGGGCGCCGGCTGCTCTGTCCC